CATGTAGGCCATCATCAAGCATCGAAATTATCATAGCTTCGGTTCGGTTTCCTCATTTTCTCCACTTCCTCCGGTTCCGGCGTAGTAGGATAATTATAGAACCGGTTTTTTGCCAGTCTCAATGAAATTCGGTATTGTTCAGTTCTTGTACTAACTTTTAGACAAAAAGAAATTACGTATGATATACTGGAAAAAAGCATGCATTTATTCATTCTTTCATTCATCCATTCATTCGCTTTCCGTTAAGGAGATAAATTGCATGATCCCCACTGCTGCGCGATTTCTAACGGTTTTGCGCAGCCTTCATTGCCTTAAAATGCTCACTCCGTAGGCACTCTTTTTTAATGTGGTCTGGCAGGCCCCTCGATTGCGATCTTGAAGTAAATGCTTCCGAACTAATTTTCTAATCACCTGTCATTTCCAGTAAAGTTCTTCCAGGAGGCATTTAACATTCAGACATTTCGTAGCACCACCATGTCAAGGGATTCAGACTGCTAATTTATGTCATTTATGCTCTCATTTATGTTACAGCGCTGGTATCTGCTCTTTGCGAAGATACACACGTTCCAGCTTGATGAGGGGTTGAAAGTTACGACTGCTGTATTCTCTCGAATTTTCTTATCCAAGCTTTTGCCATTCAAAGATGTGAGAAAAGCATGGGTTTGTGATAACAACTTTCTTCTCGGATATATGTGATTTCAACACTCATTAGAGTAATTTCTGTTTTGACCTTTCTTCAATATCATCACTTTAGTCTATCGTTAGATTGAATTTTGAACCAAGGCTTTTCTGAAAGCTGTTTCCATTCTCTGCCTTCGTCGTTGATCGTGATTTCTGCGGATTAGCATGTTGAGCATAGAGTAAAGACATATCGTGATTAAGTGTAAATTAGTGTTGTCAGTGTTCAGTGACCGAACGACTTGACAAGTTTCCATGTGAGTAGGAAATGAGTAAACTTGTACTGAGTTTACGTGAGTTAGGCGATTTGTTGATAAAGTCTTGCTGTGTACTTTAAATAAAGTTTTCTCAGTTCAAAGTCATGACTTTGGCGATTGTGATTAATCATGTTTATAGATGAGACGAACGGTCGATACTGGCTATTGAACATCTTTACGATGTCATATTCAGCTGCCGCAGATTCCGCATTTCCGGCGCTCGTTGCAATCGAAGCGTCGAAGTACTTGAAAGGGTAAAAGCTAGGAGGCATCGCCTTCAAATGCGCGCACTCATCGTTTGCATCTGCATAAATATGTTGCACGTCAAAAAACTCAGCACACAACCTGCTTTGCCTCACAGTTCATATTCAATAATAGTTAAGTTAAATAATATGAAATGAACATAGTCATAAGCAGTATTGACATTATTCTTTTTATTTACATCCATAGAACACAACCATTTCATTATTCGCAATCAATCATATCAGAATATGCATTGTTTGCGTTTATGTGATATTTACTTCGAGTCGTTTGCATGAACAGAACGTATCTGATTTGTGACATCCGCTGTACTTGCAGCGTTACAACACTTTTGCTACAAGGTACTGGTTATTGTATCGTAAAAGGAAGTGTTCCTCTCTAAAATCATATGTAATTCTAGCTTGTTACTCTAGGTTGCATGTTTTTCTCTCTCTGCGCGTTGGCCGTGTTTTGGCTCCCACACGAGAAGCTTATAGACTGAAACAAATCGTTGATGCTCAGCCAGTTTGTGTAACAGGACCAGCCACACGCTTGCCGAGGTCACCTGTGAAAGAAAATTGAGTCACTCCCTGCGTGGTCCTGTTACTTAAAACTGATTATGCGTCAAAGCCAACGTCAAGTCACAAACGTCACAAAAACAGTGCTGTTAAAGCAGAACAGAAACGTTCTTCAATGCCAGGTGGCGAAAGCCTGTGTGGCATAAATCCACCAACGAATTTGATGGAAATGAATGTTTTTGCAACAAGATAATTGTCCCTGTATATGGCACCACTACTAATTAACCGAAGGAAGCCATACAGTAAAAATGATTAAGCGGAGGCTGCTTTGCGATTACTGCTGGAAGACCTCCATATGAAATAGTTCTCGCTATGAGAACCATGAATTAGTCTAGTAAATAGTTAATCTACACAGACAGCAGCAACCTTCTTGAGTTTCGTATGGTGACATTGTTGACTCGTGGTATTCGAAAGCTAGGCGAGCGGCGTCTAAATCCTCAACAAACCGGAGTGATTTAAAGCTGTGGATGCGTGTCGATGTACGTTCGATTTCATAACGATATAATAAAAGTAGATAACTCTCCGCATCTTTTGTCAGGCTCAAGCGCATGATATACTTTAACATTCATAAGAGCCGTTTTACATTTTGGCTGATCAGCATGGTCTCCTCATAGCGGGTTAAAAAATTCATAAGACAGATCTAGCTTTGCAAAACCTGTTTTGAGGCTGTTCCTGTATCTCGAAAACTTAGAGAAAGCAAGCCGTTTGAGTGTGCCAGGCCTACATCTGATTAATGTGTAGACATCATAGTACAAAGATTGAGTGCGATTTAAAAAAAGTAAAGAGGAAGATCATAATAAATCGATGTAAATACCTAAAAGATCTCATGATATTCCTCGCCTCTGACTGACTGAGGAAAATAAGTGAACTTTGTTAAGTTGAAAGAAACACTGGATCTCACCTAGCCATAAGCATAACATTCAAAACATCATATTGTTGGGCACTAACAATGAAACAGAGATCAGCGGTCAACCACAAGCTTCACAGAAGTTAGTACCAGTGTAGCCAGTCATGGAAAATGTAGAAATCCCGATGGTTGCAAGGGGCAAGGTATTTAGAGCTAAATCGTACATGTAGATTTCTCGGGCAGCCCAAGCTAAGAATGAGCATGGATAAATTGCGAAACTTTAAAATAATTTTTCCATAAATGAATTTTACAGCGAATCACAGTTATATCGTTTTTGTGTTTCATTGGTATTGGCTCGTAGAAGATTTTTCGTTAAATTACGTTTGTCACGTTTTGATACTAGCTGCTCATCTCAAATACAGATCTACGAAACCTTGTTGTCATATCCACATGAGCTGCTTCAAAAATTTAGCACCAAATCGGTTCATTCGACCGCGGTTGTTTGTCGAGATTTTACATTTCCTCTTTCCAAAAGCTTCCTACTATCTTTGATCAATGTTATCGTTTCTGAGCAATGAAAAAAAGGGATCAGAATAAATGCAAGTTTTAAAGACGCATCGATTTTTTTGCAAATCTTGATTAGAGTGCATGAAATAAATGAAGGTTTACCACTGGAATGGGATCGTCAAACAATTCCATTGTTCAGTGAAGGAAAATAGTAAAAATATTGAATATATATGCATATTACTAAATAGGAATGCACTTAAGCGATTAGAACTATAAAAGTGAATCACTTTCAAAGGAGCCGCCGGTAAGAACAGTAGAAACCCATGAGGCAAAGTTAAGAAGGGTAGGCTCGAAGAAGATGATATCACATTGAGCAAAACGAGGTGTCGTTGTTTAACGTAGAGTGCGCACTGAAAGTAGGATTATAGGTCTTCCATACAGTTCAGTTATTAAATTAGTACAATATTGATTAGTTTTTAAAAATGGCAGAAATAATTTGATACATATTTTTCTGATTTAATAAACTAATTGATTTAAAACTGTACAAAATAATTATCGCCATGACAAAATGTAACAAAAGCATGTGCAGTAACGGTCAGTTATACCCAATCATGTGTTCTGCTTACAATCGTTCTTTCGTTTGTTACTTCATTCATTTGTCCGTTCATTCACTCGTCGTGTCATTGATTCACGCAGTTATTCGTGATCTTTTGTATGCTCGCTAACGGCGCTGTACAGGAAGAGAGTCTCATTCGGCTTAGCTAATCAAATTCAAATATTGCATTGTAGAGCGGGCCTTTCGACGAATGATGCGGTGAACCGTCTTCCGTTGCTGGACGTGACAAATACAGCGTTGAAGAAAATATGTTTTAAACCTGGGCGGTTCTTGTGCACTCCGAGCATCTACCGCTCGTACACCGGATACTGCAATAATGTGAACAATCCGCTGCGCGGCGCTGCTTACGTTCCGTTGCAAAGACTCTTCGCTCCAAGTTATGCTGACGGTATGGAAAATGTTGAACCACATGTTCTTCGTCAGTAGAAGCATTTAGCCGTGGCGTCAGTGCAATGATATTTAATCATCACACGCTAATGACCTTTGCCATTTATTCTGCAGTTTTGGTGTGTTTCGGGTTCTTCAATTATGTTACGACAAACAGACCGACGGTAAGAGGATTTGTTGTTCCTCAATGCTTTCTGCCCCAACTGAATTAAAACTTCCTTTGTGGCAGTCAGACAGACTATCTGAAATTAATATTGATCACGAGAGACTGCAATAACGTGTTTTGAAAGATGAGAACACGTATGGGAAACATGTTTTTAAAAAGAGACTGTTTATAAAAATTGTTGGCATATAAGTACTCGGGTATTGGGGCACTGAACAAGGTTTTCATACCCATGTTAATATATGAGGACAGTTTCCTAGAAGTAAATGGAGAATGCTGGGTAGCAGTAAGCTCTAAAATTCGCTGCGGTAGATTGAATTGAAAAGTAGACCATACAGCATTCGTGGAAACCGGAACAACCAAAATAACTTGCTGAATAATGGGCCTGCACCATTCGAAAAAATTGAGGTTTTGCCTCCATGAGTCAGAATAAATAGCTGGCTATGAAGATGGATTAATTAACATATAAAAAATGCTGAATGTGAGCATCACGGTTTGTCAAAATACTGGATTCACAAGGCCCATAAGTCTAGTCGTCGTTGTACCTTAACAGAGGCTTAAACAAAGGAGGAGTTTACTTCAGAATCACCCTACTTGATATACCTGTACCCGTAAAAATCACGGTGAAATTCATAGATTTGATTATGGCATTAACTAAATAAATCAAGGCAATTACAGTTTTAATATGTGCCCGTTTCAACACTGATTTCAGTAATACATGTTCTCGTCAAGAGAGATGAAGAGCTGTCATCGATCGTCACTTTGTTGCTGGCATTTTCCGCTGTACACAGTGGAGTATCTTGCAAAGACCTTGCGGTGAAACTACCAGAGAATCGAATGGAAATCGTTGTCTTCTACGAATTCGAAGGCAAATCTTGTCTATAAAATCCCACGACGGTTTTAGCAGATCCCACTAATGATTGCTAATGTGGAAACCGGATGGAAATTCGTGAAGAGTGGCGTGCACAGGGCCAATACCTACTCAACTGACCAGATGAAGACCCTGCCAAGAAAGACCTAGGGCAAGTATCTCGGCCAAACTCTACCAGACTGAGGTTATCTTCCGATGATGCTCAAACGCTGGCACAAGGTCAGGAACGTTGGAGACGGTACCGGACGCGTGTGCTTCCATGATCTGAAAGGAATATCGGTCATTGAAGCTGGCAGACAGACTGACTGACCGATCGGCCGACCGGTCGACTGATGGTGGCCTCTTATTAAAACAGAAATATGAATGAAACAGCGTTTTTGTCAGCCCTAGGTTTATTTCATTATTGGTTCATTATAAGTTAGACCGGCGTTGGACTCAGAACCGATAGATCCCAGGTTCGAATCCCGGTTGAGTCACTGGCGTTTCTTCCTTCGTAAATTAGTAAATCTGCACTACCCTATTGGAAGGAAACAGCAGATTAAGCTGTGTGGTTGCTATATAGCTGCTGTCGATTCTGCCTTTAAAAATATGGTATTCTTGGCTGATAGCATGCAAACGGGGATCGCCATCGTTAATTTCATTCATTAACCTATTAATCATAGGTTATACAGCTGTATTTGTTCTAATTCCTGCCAGGTATACAATCAATTTTTAGTGATCATGGCAGTGACATTTTTACGCGCTAGGAAAAGCTGGAATGCCAGTCAGTAATCAGGAACGTCGTAATAACGATGTCAAACTACTTATTTCTTTCTTGTATGTCTTCAGAGATAGGTAAAACTTAAAAATAAAAGTCGTGCCTAGAGTGGAGCAATCATGCACAACAATATCAAATGGTTATTACTAATGAATTAGAAAACCATTGACACTGAGGCAGAAGAAACTTCAGAAGGCTTGGGAATGCTTTGAAGAGTTGTTTTCTTCGTTGGCCTGGAAGATGCCAACCGTATAATAATAAAAGTGGCGCTATAACTGAAAATACTTTGTACACTTATAATTACACACTTATATAACTTAGTCTTTTATTTGTTTCTAAACAACTTCTAATTAGTTTATCTAATCAGTGAACAACAATTTAGGAATCTCTACGCCGCATGTTGCCAGCGACGGAAATCCGCTTCCAAATCCACTCGTAGTTAGCAGACAGTTGTTTTCCAATGATGAACCCCTGCACAGCAGCATATCCATTCTCCTACCGACATGGGCTTTGTTCATTAATAATGACATATTTCAACTGAGTTCGATGAAAGGTACAAAGTCATTATGATTTTTAAAAATGAATCATTCAATAGTTCAAATTAGGCAAATTTTTATCTTTCCTGCCGTGTTGCGAAAGGACGTCAGGCGACGATGAGTGCCTTAGCATTACTACTTACTCTGAAAAGCAGTTTTACAATCAGAGTGACCATATTTGCATACCTTACGCAAGAACTGTTCCTTCGCCGCGTGAAAACTGCTTATTAGGTAAACAGATCTATATAATCCATCGTGTAAAGTGAACCAGTGATCCTCTTTTAAGGACCTCGAGAGCAAGGAAACTCTGTCAGTTCGTTTTTAGACGGCAGCGGCATTTACGGAACGACCGAAGAAAAAGCAGTCTCCCTGAGGTCACTGAAAAACGGTAGCTGGTGATCTACATTTTG